GTGTGTGTGTGTGTGTATGCATCAAAGAGGGTTTATTTGATTTTACTGAATCAGGATCATCGTGGCCAAGATATGAGCACATTGATGTGAATGACAACCATAAGAGAGTGAAACATATGATATAAGATTCTGATCAAACCTCTATTATGGTTTTGTCCTCCGTGTGAAAGTCCTCCCTTCCAAACTCCAGGTCAATTTTTTATGGCAGTTTATTTTAGCGAAGTGATATGAGACTGATTACAGTAAAAACAAACATTAATTGTTACCAGGAACTACTATATTGCCTCCCAATGCAGCGATATAACGAATTGAATCTGACATCAACGCCATGGTACATGCGGTAAAATATTGCAAACATGGTTTATAGATCATGTTAAGACCAAAAACCCTATCGCTTTTTGTTTTAACACAGTTTTAGGTCTTTTAAAAAAATATGTTAAAAGTAATTTAGATATACTATAAGTTAATCTATTTTAAGACCCTCACTCTTCCAATTATATCTCAGCTCCTACTATATAAAAATATCAACTGTAACAAACTAAGAAATGTTTTAATAGTGACAATGACACAGAAGAATCAGATGGAGTGCTACATGATATTCAGAGACTTATCAATGTTATTAAAAAAATATGCCTTTTTGCCCTCATGGTAAACGTGCCAGCTGGTGCCGGGAAGTCGAGATGATTTTGTGTCAGGGACCTCTGCAGAAAGTTTCCCTCCCTCAGAGACCATAAAGAAGTCCAAAGATCAGGGAGACACAGAGAGGAACAAAAACGCTGATTAGAGATCAGAGCCTGTCCAGTCTTCTCCACCAGCAGAGCTGCACCACCACTCCCTCAGACTACAGGTACGACACAATGAACTCCGGGTTATATCTGGGGTAGGGTATATATGATATACTGTATATGTCTACAGGTCTGTGTGATATGACTATATGCTATATGAATTTATAACATTATATTTCAATATTTGTATATTTTCTAATGAATTTGTTATGTTTTAGAAAATTTATAATTTTTCATTGTAAGTGATGTAAAGTGATGAATATTCAACAGTGTAAAATCATTTAAAACCTACTTTTATCTTTTAACTGATATAAGCTGTAATCATTTACATACTTTTATCTTGTGTTTTGGATTTTATCTACTTTCTATCACTCGTTTATTACTGTAAAAAATCTTTGTAGGTAAACAAGTAAATTCAATTTTCGTTTAAAGTTTGGGTTAGGGTTAGGGTTTTTATTTGTGTATTTATTTAAATGTAAGAAAGTTTGTTTCGTATTCTAAATTAATCTTTAGGCATCACTGACCTATAGATTCCTGTTTGTGGGTTGGTTTTGGCTAAAAAGGACCATTACATAAATTATTAAATAGTTTAAGCAGGTGTTGGTTATTAACAGTAAAAACAATAAATTATCAGCAGATTTTAAGCTTTCTGTACATCTTTCCAAGTGAATCACATCTGAATTAATTGTTTCTCAACATAATGTAGCTGATTCATAGTTTCATTGTTTTTGAATTTTGTTAACAAAGAGAAAGGAAGTATGCAAATATTGATATAGGTTGAACGTCTGAATAGTAGTAATAAGTAATATCGCCCTATTGGTATTTTTACTTCTTGCACCACTGGTCACCAAAATAAAAAAATGTTCATGTGTCCTCAGCTCCACAGGAGTGAGTTTGCCACCATGGAGATGAAAAGTATCCTAAAAACTAACAAAAGTAAGTTTTTAATGTCACTTTTCTACTTTTTCTACTACATGCATGTTTGATAACCTTTGCCCAGTGTGGGGAGCTAATGACTCAGCTTGATAAAAGGCTTGATTGTGTCCATAGAGGCTTAATTGTAACCTTTAAAGACACTCTGAAAAACATATAATCACATTTGTTAAATGTAAACCTTTTTCCTCATTTCTGTTAGAAATCAACTCTGTGAACTGATATTAACAAAGACGTTTTCTCCTGAATGTGTCCCCCCACAGGGGTGCAAGGCAGCACCACCCAGAGCAGCTCCATCGGGGCCGTTCGCTGGACCCTGCCTGAGGAGAGCTTCCAGGCTCACAGCTCGGCCCCCAGCAGACAGGCCAACAACCTCACCAAACACTCACAGGTACATGAAACAACCTTGATTTAGTTGATTACCTTGAGGTTTGACATTGAGGTTTCATTAAAAAAAAAACCTACAGTAGGAATAAACATTTGAATTTGACCTGCAGCAACATCCTCGTCAGAGCGGCCTGAAGGATCTACGCAGCCTGCAGGAGTGTGTGCAGTTCATCAATCACTGGAAGGACCAAGTGGACCAAGTCTGCAAGGTAGGACATGAGGGAGGGAAGGAATCAATTCATCAGACACATATTAATGTTATTACTCATTAAAAGCAGTCTTACAGTGTAAATTCAGAGGGCAAAGAACAAATATACGAGAAAAATGTGTGTCTGAATGTATAATACGTAATTTATACACATGGTGACACTGACGTTAAACATTAGCTTGCCTCATTTTTAACCTCCAATTTCCTTTAATATAGAGGCCACTGTAGGCTGTTTCCCAGCTCAGTAGAAAAGTCAACAAAAAAAAAGATAAGAGCCTTTTGATTTTAACAGGAAAATGAGACAAATTGTGTTACAGGCTCATATGGTTGATCATTTCAGCCTGTTAAAAGTTCATTGCTGAAGATAAAGTTTACAGATGTGTAGAGTTTCGATTCAGGACCAACTGTTACGCCTTTTTGGTGCATAATGAGCTCATGTGAACCCAGTATTTATGGCCACATAGACTGGATAAGCGTTGCTACTGGAAACCACTTTGCTTGTCAGTGTTAATTGGGTGGGTGGATGCTGATAGGACACATTTATTGACCCGTTTACAGCCCAGTTACATGACCCCGTGGGCAGAAACATGTAGGGTGGGGGACAATGCCTACAGTAAGAAGTTATGTACTGCATCTGATTTTTTTCCCCACAAGAGGTTATATTGGTTTAAAATGGCCCTTTTGACATCTGTAAATGGAAAACTTCCCACATGTGACCTATTTCACACCATTTTAACCAAAGTGACCTCTGAAATATCAGGTGGTGTAAACAAAAACAGTCAGTGCCCAGTTTTCAGCTTAGGCCTTGAAACTCACATTACTGTCAATGTGAGCTGACTTTTTTGTTATTTTATCTAATTGTAATAGTAGCCGCCATTATGTTCTGTGTATAACAGTGTCTGACACTGCTGTGTTTGTGCAGGGTAGTAGTGATCCAGAGGAGGGCACCAGTACAAGAACAGCCCAGAGTTCAGACCGGCGTACTGAGCGCAGTCTTGAGGAGAGCAGGAAACTGATTCTGGAGTGGGCTGACGAACTCCACCACGTCGACAAGGTCAGTGCACACAAGAGTTATACTGTAATTACCAGCTGTGAAAATTTATTTATATATAAGAAATAGAAAAAAATATCAATCGTAACTTATTGATTTTGTGTCTGTAGCTCCTGAAGGAGACCCCCTTGGCATCTGAGATTCAAGAACATGAAAACAAAGAAGACAAAGATGCCAATGAGGAGGCACAAATGAGGATCATGGAGTGGGCAAAGGAGCTGCAGAAGGCGACTGAGGTGAGGAGTCGTAAACCTGAACCTGAAAGTTATTATTATTTATTACTGCAAAACAGAAATGATACCTAGGGCAGCTCAGTTAAGAAGTGTGAGCCTTTTGTCTGTTTGGCATTAAACTCCAGGAGGGCAGAATTTATCTGAGTTTGTGTCAAATATCGCAGCTGAAAACATGTTTGTGTTTGCAGAGTTGTGGTGTGCAAAGCGATGAGCTGGGCAGAGTGTTGCGTCTTCTCGGCCTTAAGAAGAAACGACTGTTCAAACTTCTGCCTCTGCTGGAGTTCATCACCTGGTCTCTGCTCAAAGAAGACAGCATAGTAAGAAACCACTGGCAAATTAACATTTCTACCAGTTCTTTTATCAAATATATCCAGGTAATAAAAAAAGAACATTTATTTAGCCATATTACAAAATTTCAGCTGAGTCGTATCTAAAAATAATTAAATTAGAAATGAGGAAGGAAAGTTTTTACCATTAAACTGTAAATAATTTGATATGAAACAGAAACCATTAGAGGTCACTTGAATTCAAAGATAAACATTTAAACTGCTCTGATAACCATGAAACACAGAACCGAATGAAGCTGTTTGATGCCACGCACTGCGGACATGACCAAGTTATAAAATGACTTTACATAACGTGATTTGAGTGAACCCTGCTCTTTCAATTTGTGCTGAGCAATAACTTATATAACTCTGACTCTGCTCTGATAAACTACAACAGTCAATGTCCTTGATAACTGATAGTGAAGACTCTGCAGATAAACTATCATAACATTCGCAGATGATGGTGTAGTGTACGTAGCAAAGTTCTTGATTGAAATGTGAAGGAATATATTGTGGTTGGTGCCTAGTTTTAAGATATGAATACAACATGTGCAGTAACAATAAACTGCTCTTTACTCTACTTGTTATGGTTTTGACCTTCCAGGCAATCATTCAATGTTGGCCGACTTCTAAAAATGGTGCAAGAGCCTTGTGTTTAGCATTATTGCTCTCACAAAGAAAGTGGTATGACCGCTCCCAGTCAAACTTAGCAAAGTAGCAACGGTGTGGGAAAAGTCAATATTTACAAGATTTACTAGTTAGGATTATATTTGCAAACTACATGGTCATAAGGGAAGGTAGAATTAGAGAATCACTACATATAAATGCTGTTCATATGAAACATATCTTCATTTTATCTTTATTTCTTTCAGACGATGATTCCACAGTTGTGGCTACTGGCAAAGCAAAGGACCTGGAAAGCAGGAATTCCCAGATACATCCCCAACTCAGGTGTGCATTTTTAAATCAGTTTTTAGATAAGATACATTACAAGCCTTTTGAAATGCCACTAATTTACCTTAAGGAGAAGAACAATTACAGCTCATAAAAAGTACCTAAGAACCAGTGGTTCCCAACTTTTTCTTAATACGAAGCAATTTCTCCCTGCAGCCCTTCATCACAGTTTAAGTGTCTTTGAGTTGAGCAGTTCCATCAAGTAGGGATTGTCCCTACTCAGAATAATTTGTATAGACCTGGACAGCATATCAAAATAAAAAACAAAAACAAAGATTAGACAAAAGTTAAAACTAAATAATTATTATAAATTATTTCCTATCTTGGGACCCCTTGGAAATCAATGGTTTGGACCATGTACAATAAACATTTCTCTTGTTTATCCAGTGTAACTTTAATATAATGTCTGTGTTTCTACTTTCAGTTTGGAGTTGGATTTGCAGCGCAGAAGGTAAGATCAACCTCCACTTTATCTTCATCTCAACTGAAACAGAGAAAAAGCAAACCAAACATTTACAGTACGACAAACTCATTTATACCAACAATCTCTTTTCCTTATCAGCTGATGTGATTCTCGACCCAATGACGAACCACCCCTGGCTTCAGCTGTCAGACGACCAGCGTAGGGTCCAGGAGGGCATGTCAGAGTCCGACCTGCCTTACAGCCCCCAGCGATTCGACAACTGGCTCTGTGTGCTAGGCTGGCAGGGCTACGACAGGGGCCGCCACTACTGGGAGGTAGACATAGCCAACAGCGGCTCCTGGCGTGTGGGACTGACCACTGCCGATTCCAAGCGCCAAGGCCGCTTCCCCATGACCCCAAAGCGGGGCTACTGGGCCCTGTGGCGCAGCACACACCAGTTCTACGCCTGCACCAAGCTGGAGACGCCACTGCCTGTCGATCTAGTGCCACGGCGTATAGGCATCTACTTAGACTACGAAGAGGGCCAGATCTCCTTCTACAACGCAGAAACAAAGTCCCATATCTACACCTTCACTGGAACCTTCAGAGGAAAGCTGTACCCGTTGTTCGCCCCGCTGGATGGTCGCACACTCATGACAATCGTCCCACCACGAAAGTCTCAGAAGACTGAGGAAGATTAACCTTAACAACTCTTGTTGGACACTTGGAAGAACTCACTTTGACTTTTAAAAAAATGCCTCAACCTAAAAGTACCAAAACCAAAATCTGCACAAAGATTAAGTTTTCAAAAAAATGTGGTATAATCAGTGAAAAGCACAAATTCTGGCTTTCAGAACCAGGAAGTATTTAATATTTCACATGAACTTGCCTTCCCTAAATGTTACTTTAAATATATCTGTCAGTTTCTCATCTTAAAACTGAATTTAAAATCTCTGAAGCGTCAATTAAAAACTGAAAAACAGCAGCAGACACAAGACTGAACTACATAAAAGTGCTGATCACATTGTTATAGAACAAGTTAATAGATGTAACTGATCATAGCACTCGTGGAAGTGGAAATTGTTATCCGAAGTTGAGAAACACAAACAAAAACTCAACTTTGAGTAAAAATATTTATTTATTATTAATGGAATTTTAAAAGATAAGCAAGAAATTCTATATATATATATATATATATGTATATTTAGCAGTAGACATTTCAGTGTGAACACATTCTGCATCTACATACATGCACTTTATTATGCACTTTCAGACACATCATAAATACTTCATATACATTTCAGGTTGTTTTTTTATATCTCTGGCTTTTTTCTGGCATCACATCACACTTTACACACATAATTCACTGAGAGGAAAATGATTCCACCCAAATGCCAACTGCATGTATCTCTACTCATGTAAAGCTTTTCAATAAAGGTCTTTGGTAACTTTGTACTATTGCAAAGCTGACTTTACCCTTCAAGACTTTGCATTGCTGGATTAAAAGTGTCAAAATTCTGTAACAATATTCAAATTACAATTAATTTACCAGAACATTGTACATAAAGAAATATAAAATCATGTGTGTACGTATGTGTGCTGCCTGTCAGGAGTCTTTCTTACAAGCCCAGGGTCCATAATCCTCGCAGCTGGCTGCGAAGAGCCTCCCACCTCCCCTCAGATCTGCACAGTCCCTGTGATCAGTATCCCACTCCCACGTCGCCCTGCCAACACAACATACACATAAACACAGGGAGGTATAAGAGACAACACTTGAGCCTTAAATTCCAAATAAAGTGATCTTAAGGTAATTTTGGAGTAAGTGGTAAATGTAGATCAATACAATAGTTGACTAAATGTGTATGTGTGTATGTCAATGTATATATGTATATGTATGTATATATGTACTGTATCATTGTAATAAAAACAGAAAACCTTTAATGATGTTTGTGTCTTAATCTTTAATAAAATAGACAAATATGGTTAAAAATAAGTGTTTTCTATCAATATCTTGAGATATTGATATTGATACCATAGTCTGGGTGAATACTTGATCCTGATTGGCTGCAGTGTGTCCATTAATTCCATATAATGTATACCTCCTTGGGCATTATCCCTTACTTACTGGGTACAGTCACTGTACAGTATAATATATATTAGTTAAAGATCACCATTATTGTCCTGCTTATAGTCTTTATTTTCAGCTGTTATTGAATTATTTTTGAGGCAACAAGAATTTTCTTGAACGTTTCATTGAAAGAATGATGTCATTGAACACAAATTTATGTAAAATACTGTAGATAGAGTGTAAAATTCACAAATATTTGTATCTTCACAGACAAATGTCTCCTGGGCTAAAATGGGATACAGATATTTTACTATCTTACAAAGACAACAGATTCATAACATGTTTTTATAATTATTGAACAGATTTTGTAGAATAAAGTACACTAATACTCATGTTAGGAACTTAGGAACCCCCTTAAAGATCAACAAATAAACCCAAAAGCATCACCGGGACACAGAAAACCACATTTGTGAGCTTTGAGATTTTAATTTCCATAAATCTACAGAATATTATTTTCTCTCTTGTCACTTTTGTACTGAAGTGAAGTGTATTTCTATTATTTAATCCTGCATTTGAAAAACAGTTAGTCTCCTAAACCGTGTGTCAGTCAATCCGGACTTACGGCATGTAGTGCTGGATGTCCAACCCATCCAACCACAGCCACTGACCCTCCTTCTCAGCGTCCGTCAGTCCCACCCACAGGAAGGGAAACTGAGGCAGCTTCTCCATCACACTTTGGATAAATTCCTGAGGAGGACGCAACATTTGGAGGACTTCAGATCCATTGTGGGACAGAAATTCTGATGTTTTCTGTCTGGTGTCTATAAAACTTAATCTGTGTTAGGTTCAAGTGGACAAATGTTTTAATTCAAGATCACAGAATTTAAAGAGAGAGCTGTGTGTATCAGAGCTGCAGGTTTAAGTTATAATGTGATCTGATGTGTCATGTTGACTTTTTGTGCCAAGCTAAAAGCATTAAAGGGATTAGTTTACAGGTTATAGATAAAAAATTCACTTGCCACTAGATGTCACACTATAGCAACAGCATCTCAGACCTCCATGGGTACTACAGCCAACCATACTCTATTGACAAAACTAGTTACTTTACGGAGCAGATAATCATAAAACACAACTCTTTTTGGACACTTGGAAGAGCTCACTTTGACTTTTACAAAAAATGCCTCAACCTAAAAGTACCAAAACCAAATGTTTTCAAAAAAATGTGGCATAATCAGTGAAAAGCACAAATTCTGGCTTTCAGAACCAGGAAGTATTTAAGATTTCACATGAACTTGCCTTCCCTAAATGTTACTTTAAATATATCTGTCAGTTTCTCATCTTAAAACTGAATTTAAAATCTCT